TGTGAGAACCAATCTCTCACTTTTGCCCCTTTCACCTTAAATACTCATGATGGCTGGTAAAACCAACAAAAAAATACCCAGAGAATCCCCGACTCTCTGTAGTGTAGAATATTCTCCTTAAAAAAAAAAAAAAAGCAGCAGAAACTGCACACGTTTGTGAAGAGTTGGGATTCTTGTCCAGTGATGCATTTATATGCTATAGCTGAAGTGCATGCATTTTGCATCCAGTCCAAAAGCTCCTATGAAAACAAGGTACCACTTTCTGTACCGGAGAAGGCAGAGATTGTACTGGCATAATACAACATCTTTGAAAGATGCATTTTTTGACAGCCCCACTGGTGTTAATTAACCATCTCTATTAGCACATGTACCGCATGACATAAAAAAAAAAAAAAAAGCAGTATCTTTCAGAGATTCTACTGCTAAGCTTTACCTTCCTACAAAACATTCATGTACACTTGAAGTTCACAACTTGCAGCATTTACAATGTGTATGCAGGGGGAGGAAAAGTCTTGAACATGGAACATATACACTAGGAAAAAACCCCAAGGTTTAGGTAACGGATCACTTTAAACATATATATCACTAGAGATTTATTACTGAATCTTCCTACTTGGAGGTAGGGGGAATCAACATGGAAGAGAGCACACTGGCAGGGGGGAAGGGAGGGAGAGAAGGAAGAGTGGAGATGATTAATTACTTTAAAATAGTGGCATCACCTGAGACTTTCTATTTATTATTGCCACTGAAGTTAAAACCCTGTCTGTTGGCTGGGAGCAATTATTCCCCGTAGCAAGGGCCAAGCTCTATGTGCCCAGCATAATTAATTACCAAGGGCTAGCCTTCCGAAGGCAGGGTTCAGCATGCCCAAATATTGGGACTAGCAGCATCAAGATAATACTGATAAGGAGGGGGTGGGAGAGAGAATGGTAATAGATACTGTTGTTGATTTATGTAGCCAGCATACCAAGTGTTCAGTATAAATGATTTATGTAAAGTTCGTCCCTTTCCAATTCTGCTTGAGCAACACCCAGACACTAAGCAAGTAATCCGTTTCAAAAAACCAAAAGGGCAAAAATGTAGAAAAAGGATCAATGGCTCCCAGAATTCATCACCACTCCTTCCCTGTCTTTAAAACTTCTTATGCCAACCTGGCGGATGGAGGGAAAATGAACCTAAACAGGGAGTAGGGGAAAAAAGAAACTTCAAAGCACGGCAATGTGAAAAACTGGGAACAAGAGCATGGATGAAAATGTTCATTATATTTAAATGGATCCTGCAGGCAGAAAACAAGATTGAAAACTGTAACAAATAAATAAAATGGGACAAATTCCGTACTTAAACAGGAAGAAGAGAAAGAACCTAAATAAACTGCAAACTAAATAAATGGAAGAAAATGTGGTTAGGCACACACACAGGCACACGCATGAAGTATCCAGAAGTAGCTTGAAAATAGGCAAGCATTTTGCTCATGACTTTAAAAAAATTCTGGCTAAGTCTCCACTTGGGCATCTGCCCCTTGAACAGCAATCTTTATAAAATCTGCTCTTTGATTTTCTGAAAGCAAAATTACACACATACATGCACACCACATCTATGAACAAGCAGAGGGAATTCCGAGATCGGTGGAAGGCGTTTCACTAACAATAAATGACAGTATGGAAGTTCTACTGTCACTCCTATTAGTGAAGTGTTAGCAAAAACTCATTTCATTTAAGGGACATAGTCTTTAAGACAGAAATGGATTCACAGAATAAAAAGACTTCTAGTTTCCTTCAGTTTTAAGTTGGAAAAAGCAAATCATTGCTATAAAAAGGATGAAACAGGAAGGCAGAAATGGAAGCTGATCCTAAAACGGATTTATTTTCATTTTTATTTTCCTCCGGTCCTATTCTTTTGCCTTATATAACATGTTAGCTGTTCAGATAACTGCGGCATTTGAATCGCAGCTTACAATAAGGGGCTCTTGCTACTCTTCTTCTGTTACGAGAACTGTTTGCATAGTTGACATGGCAACTACCGAATGGAAAGCACAATGGGTAGCCTTTCCTAACCAGATGCCCTCCCCAGGTGCTGGGGACCATGTTTCTCAGAATTCTCAGGCTGCGCTGGTTGGGAATTTTAGGAATTGCAGTCCCAACATGTAGGCGTTGTCAGGTAAAGGAAGGCTAACACAGGGCCTTTCACAAGGTCCAATGAATGTGAATGCCATAACAACTGGGAGAAATAGGGGACTGTATACATTTACAGTAGCCATATTAAAATAATTCTTGGCAGTACTAAAGAGACTATGGATGCTGCAAACATGGAACTAGGATCTTGAATATATTTTGCAGGCCTAGATTTTATTTTTTGAGGAATCTGTCCTCAAGTCCTAATCAGTCACAAATGAATGGAAATGTTTTAATATCAGATCCAAACAAATGTAGCTGTCTTAGCCATTACTGTAGTAAAATTCTTATTATGGTAATACTGTATCTTTCTTAGGCCAACTCAAGTTCACAGAATAGCATACCAGTTTTCTCCAGATTTCTGCATCTGGTCTGATGAAAAAAAATTAAAAAGCAAATGTGAGAGTGGAAACATCAGCCACTTATATCCTGTGTGTGTGCGTGTGTGCGCATGCATCCGCACGTGCAGTGGGCAACTGCATACCTGGGAAAGGAAAAAAAACTTGCACACTGTTTTTGATCTTGTGTTGTATATTCTATGAAAGGAATTTTCCTACAATGGATTTCTGAAGCAACAGCTAGTGCTAGGCCTCCCTTAGGCAGGAAAGCCAGCTGGGTGACTTTGGGCCAGTCACTCTCTCTCAGCCAAACCCACCTCACAGGGTTGTCGTTGTGAGGAAAATATAGGAGGCAGGAGTATTAAGTATGTTCACTACCATGAGTTGATCAAAATATATTAAAAAGGTGGAATATAATAACAACAACAATAATCTGACTGTGCGACCAACCATAATAATGTTTCCTTTCTTCTTTGAATGGCAACTATTTTTGATCTGCTAAAAGTAATTTGTCAAGCGTATTGCTAAAGGTATATATCTCTGAGCATCCAGTCTTGAAAGTAGATGCTAAGTGTTAATCTTCATTTTCCAGCTTTTACCGCAACATGGTAAGCTCCCCAAGGCCTATCTTGCAGGCTACTCTATTGCCTCAGTACTCCAAAAGCTGTTTTGTTTAGAACAGTGTTGTCCAAACTTGGCCACTTTAAGATGAGTGGACTTCAACTCCCAG